TGAAGCATTAAGTAACCTATTATGTACTCTTTGTAAAACTATTATTGATTCTTCTCTTAGTAAGCTTAAACTAATATCAGGGCCCTACAACTAACTTTTAACAAATAGCCTATATTACTCTGGCATTTCAAGAGTTAATTTACCACTAATTGATCCATGTATTGGCCTTTGCCACTTTCAGGGGACAGCTATGTTTAATCGTCCTTTAATGTACTCCTACGCTTTCCATAATTCAGGAATGATCGAGGGAAATAATGAATACAATGAACAGTTGGTTCGCCGACTGCATAAGGTGCTTCGACCCTTTCTACTCCGCAGACTCAAAGCGGATGTTGAACGACAGCTGCCGAAAAAGTATGAGCATATCGTCATGTGCCGTCTTTCCAGGCGTCAGCGCTTCCTCTATGATGACTTCATGTCTCTTGCTTCGTAAGTTATATCCTTGGTCGTCATCTTCTAACGCATCTGTGCCCATTCGTGTTACCGCCTTTATAGGCATAAATTTCATCCAGCAAAGATGGCTCAATTTGCTTGGTTTGTTTAAGACCTATAAACTTTGCCGTGTGGTGTTGTAGGCACATTTTCGGCCGGACTAAAGTGTAGGTTTGAATTTGTCATTGGTTTTCATTGTACACCTGACAAAAATCATTTACATCAATAAATTTTGGTCCAAAAGATTTAAGAATGCATTTCTAGGCTTACAATAATTTTATCGTAGATATGCCGACCAAGATAGTGTGGCCTTCTGTTTGGTCGCAGTCTCCTTTAGCTTTATACTGTTGGTTCGAACTTATTTCCGCAACTCATTTGGAGCGTCAGGGAGACCTTGTGGAACATACCTAGTTCTGTGTCATCTGCCATAGTATTCGGGATTTCCAGTTTCGGGCCATTGACTTGGTACATTCCAAAACGTTTCGCCGGCATCGTCAGTGAGAGCCGCCATCGTAAGCACAGAATTACGAATTATTAAAGTGACATGTGAAGATAACCCCTTTGACCAATTTTTCGTTCTACCTTCTAGTGCTGCATCTCTTTCTTTCAACCCCATTTCGAGTAATTGGCTTGAAGCCTAGGGAGAGGAAGATTCACAGGCATTTGCATGCTCATCGACATGGACATAGGCATCATCTGCTTTAAATCCTCGAATATGGCGTCACTAGGGATGGGAACTCAAGACTCTTAGGCAGCGAGACAGCGATTTTGATGTTTAGCTGCGATCAGTTGACAAGCAGGGTAGGAGAAAGGGAGCAGAATGTAGGTCATGAGACCTGCAAACGGCACCTGATACCGGTGGTGGATATGATTATGCTTCAATAAACCTACTTTTAGCGATGCACTTTTGGGCAACATTGGAGCTAACGAGAGCACAAAATTGTGTAGATAGGTAGATGGGATAGATGAGCAGTTTAAGTGGGGTTAAGAGAAAGAGATGCAGCACTAGGAGGTTGAACAAAAAATAGTGATGAGGAGTGATGTTACAGCGGCTGAAAAGGAAATTTGTTAAGGGGATTACCTTCATTTGTCAATTTGATAAGCTGTAACTCTGTGCTAACGATGGCGCCTCTCACTGACGATGCCGGTGGAACATCTGGGAATGTACCAAGTCAATGGCCTGAAGCTGTTAATCACGAATACTAGTGCAGGGGACAGGACTAGGTACGTGCCATAAGGTCGCCCTGACACTACGATAACAAGATCGAAGCAACACCTTTAATAATTTTACTTACAATCCTCAATTTGCTTAAGAGCGACTTTTTTTTGTATATGCTACAATCATGAGAACTTCCCAAGATTAATTGTGGATCAGGGTAAGTAAGAACAGTAGGACAGCGCGATTCGTATCCTTTAGGCGAACTGAATCTAGAGTCCAATCTCCAAGCTAAAATAAGCCCAAAGACTCAGAGCTTTTCGTGAGTGATTCGCATTGGGCTGCATTTAACACAATCTCCCTAGGAGATCCTTCGATGACTCCTAAGCCATCTAGGAGTCTATCATCGTATTCTTGGTCTGCTTCCATCCTAGTAGTGTTCAAGACTTTTACACTACTTTTTTTCCCACCACTGACAATTTTAGCATTCTGGTTGTCCAGGACTTTACTTTTATACGATGAGCAACGAATAATATTCTGGCTGATTAAATTTGCCCACGTAGCATTAAAAAATGTTTTATTTTTATAATACATTTTACACCTAAGAAGGATTACGGCTTTAACCTCGCCTCGCCATCTCATCAGCACCCTTAGAGGGATTCAAGCCATGGGCGTTCGGTTTAAGAGTCAAACTCGTTGGCCCCTGAGACATGACCTCAGGCATGTTTAGCCATAGGAACAAGTATGGCCCATGTTGATATGAAGACCAGGATGGTGTGACCTTTTGTATGGTCACGGTCTCCTTTCGTTGTATAGAAGTTGTTTGACCTTGTTTTCGCAACTTGGTCATATTGGCAGAAAGACCTAGAGGAACTTACCTTGTTTGGAGTCCATAGTATGCATCGTAGTCGAAATCGTCAGTGAGTCTTAGTTGCTGAGACTGGCAAGACTCACTGACGATGCAGGCGAAACGTCTGGGAATGTACCAAGTGCACGGTTTGATTTTGGAAAATATCATGCATACTATGGACTCCGGACAAGATGCGTCCATTTTGGTCTTTTTGCCAATTTGACCAAGTTGCGAAAACAAGCCCAAACAACTTCTAAACATTTTTAAGGTTGGATGAAATTCTTTCATCTAGTTTGGCCATCCAATATTTTAAACAAAATACGAGTGATCTTCGAATGAATATTTTAAGGGGTTTTAATAGAGCAACCTTTTTTTCCACATATTCATGTTCGATTCATTTTTATATTGTAAATCTATATATACATTACGTTCTATCTACTCTATAAACTATCAGCACGTAATTCTTGCAGCATTCCCTTACCACATAGACTTTTAAGCCATTTCGTCTCACTTAATGCATTCAATATGCTTTATAAATCTGTGACCTGAGTAGGTTCATAGTTTTTATGGAGTGCTGCATCATATTTGATTATTTATTACATATTTGCCATGTTTATCATATCTATCAACACAATATTCTGTGTATTTTTTATTGAATTAATTCTTTTTAAGTACTCGAGAGACTCTGCAGTCAGGCCAGTTCCTCTCCGTCATGAACATCTTGATGCAGCTTC